GGGGGGCCGTGCGCGGGCCCCCCCCCCCTGCCCCTCACTGCCCCCGCTCCCACCCCCGGGGTTTTATAACGCGCCGGGTTTCCGTGTCCTGTGACTGCAGTCAGGTGGTTGCGTTCCCAGCCGGGCCGGGGCGGGGCAGAAAGTAGTTGGGCAAGAAAGTTTGCGGGCTGCCTGCGCGTCCCAGCTTCCTTGCCCAGGCCTCCGCGTGGCCAAAGGCTGGGGCCGGCAGCTCCCCGGGGAGCAGCAGGAGCGGGCGGGGCCGGGCGCGGAGCGGCGAGAATGGCTGCGGGAGAAGGCCGGGGCGCCGGGGGGCTGGAGTGCCGGGAGCATCTCTTCAAGGTGTTAGTGATCGGGGAGCTGGGCGTGGGCAAAACCAGCATCATCAAGCGGTACGTGCACCAGCTCTTCTCGCAGCACTACCGGGCCACCATCGGCGTGGACTTTGCCCTCAAAGTCATCAACTGGGACAGCAAGACCCTGGTGAGACTGCAGCTCTGGGACATCGCAGGTAAGCGTGAGAGGGAAGCACGTTTCTCCTTTTCCTGGGCTCCCCTGAGCTCTGTCAGGCGCTGTTGCTTTTTGGGTAGCAAAAGACCGCAATATGGGGGGAGGAAGATAGGTAGCTAAGCCTGTCTTCTCGCTATGATGAGTTCGTGCTTTGCTCAACTGTAATAGAGACCCAAACTCCTCTTCACTCTCTTCTCTTGCCATGGCCATGCTGGGCATCCATTTTTCCTCTGGACTCAGAACAAGAGCAGAGCTTTGAAGGGCTCTTTGAAGTCATGAGAAAGAGGGCTTTGTATCCTGCTAAGGTTGCATTCACTGTAATTGGGACATATCTAATGTCTCTTCAGGCTTTTGGTCTGGCTAAACTGACTTGGCAGCTTAACAGCTGACTTCAAAAGACAGTGGTGGTCTTGCTAACCACCTGACTTAGGGGAATATAAAACAATCTATGCTTAGACTTATTCCAGAGGTTTAGTAGCATGATAACTGTAAAACTATTGGCTTATTCAGTCTTTTGGCCATCATTCTGAAATAGCTTTAAAATAAATAGAACCCCTGGTGGACTTAAAGTAACTCATGTAAGTAGTGAAGCTGAAGTTGAGAGGAAGCATCTTTAGGCATGATTTAGGCCTGAGTTGTTAACTGAAGGGCTAAAGTTAAGTTTTCCTGCAGTTCTTGAAAAAACAAAAACCCTCAATTTGCTTAATGCCTGTTTTGTCTGTAATATGAACAGTGTGAAAGCAATGTTTGATTGTAATGTGTATCTGGAAGAATGCATAGGCATTTTTGAGTTCCCTAGAAAGAAAAGCCTGTTGCTGACAAACCTTGTTTGCAGCCTGCAATTACATAAAGAGGAAAGGAATGTTGTAGGAGTCAAATCTCATGCTGCACTTGAGGCACATCTGGGTTAGAGAATTAGCCCAAAGTCTGTCACTCTGTCAACATAAGATGAATTGACATGAAGTAGCCCACAGTGTGCAAAATCACTTTCCTCCACTGGGTTTACACTAAGGAGTGGATTAAATATGCAGACATCTCTTTAACCTGACACTTTTCATGTAGCTTATATCTAGCCCTGATTGTCCAGCCACACATCTGTTCTCTTCCTTTTGTCATCACCTTGTTTCAGTTGTCTAGATGTGAGCTATTAGGCTTTAACTCAAGTGCCAATACTCATTATTATGTGGTTTTCATGTGAAAAATGGCTTTTAATGTCTTGCTTGTGATTTGGGAAGTCATGAGGCTATCCCACTACACTTTATATATACCCAAGAGAACAGTAATTGCAGTCTTATTCCATTATAAGTTAACAAAGCACAAACAATATAGTGCATGGTACTCTCGTATGTAGCAAATAATGTTATTGCCAGTCACCATTTCCATCATTTTATGGTACCTAGATTGATCTTCAAAACAGAATGTGCCTTCTCCAAATAAAATCCCAGATGTCAATGCAATATGTAGTAAGTTTTTTTTTCATATAACTGTTTTGAAGTTGGTATCCTGGTACCCTATTGTGTAGTATAAACTATTCTAAATGCATTTTTGAGCCCCACCTCACTGCTCCCCACTCCCTGCCTGCTCCTTGGACACTGGTTACTCTCTCAAATCAAGCTCAGACTTCAGTGATGTGCAACACCTTTGTGTCTCTAGTCAAGGAAGCTTGACCCATGGCTAGTGCCCAGCTATATACAGTCTTGAGTGGGAGGGGTTTCTCCCTCATGGGCAGAGTCAGTCCACCAGCTCCCTCCCTGATGGACAGCTCTGCCTGCTCTCACTACTGACTCCTTTCCAGCCTATATAGTAAAGGACTCAAGCTGCAGGTGTTGCCATCCTCAGGCCAGCATCAGGCCTTTTCATCAGCCCCAATCTGTTAATTTGCTACAGCAATACTTACTGTAGCAGGTGCTCTTGCTCCAACCAAGGGTATCAACTTGATAGTTGAAATTGTGATAGTGGTAGGAATACAATAAGCTTGCAAGGAAACATGACACTGCACAAAAATAGAAATGAGTTTTAAAGGCTATACCTCCTCCAGGCTTCACTCCTGCATATGAATGCTTGACTTCCACAACTGAGCTCACACTGGTATGAGAACCATGAAATAGGACTCATTTTGAGTTCAGTGGAACTGTTCTGACTTGTACCAACTATTTATGAAGAAACTGTATTGAAGTTGCTGCATGAACTCATGGAGTAGTCTAGTATTTACTTTTATAGCTAAATATAAGTGATTATATAGAATTCAAAATAACAAATACTTGCATGTAGTTATAATTTGTTTCTATCCACACAGAGCTCTAAAATTAGTATCCACATCTGCAAAATATGTGAATATCGGCAAACTTGTAGATAGCCAGATACAAAACTTGTACTTGCATCCATAGTGGCAAAAATGAGCTGTGGCTATCTGTAGATTTACAGGGCTCTAGATATATAATTGGGATGATGGAGGAAACATTCCAGTGTGTAAGTGAACAAGAACTGGCATTTCACAATAAATCAAAGGGGGGAGGGGAGTAATGCTTTCGAAGATGCTTTAGGCTTCATAATGTGCGCATTCTTGAAAATGTTACCCTTAAATATCTTTATCTTAAAATGGAGAAGCTAAAGACTAGGTAGCTCAATATTTTTATTAATAAACTTGAAGCCTTTTGGTGCTATGGCAGGCTTATTGAGGTTAGGTCAACACTGGCCGTAACAGTTGCTTACATAGCTGTGAAATAAGTTGGTGGTCTTAGTCATTAGACTGTCAGTGTGAAACTTATAATAATCTTTTGATGGAGGCCAATTACTGAATGACCATAGAGACTGTATATATTGGCACACAACTTGATGCCCTTGTATTTTGCACTTTTGTGCAGAGAACTGATCAGGAGTTTTTCCTTAAAGCTGGCTGTTTTGCTGCTAGCTTTTGGAGTTGTAGGTGATTGGGCTGTGGCCTTCCATATTCAGCAATGTATATTCCAAGGGTGGGTTAAGGTAGACTAGAAGAAGGGTCAGGGAAAACTTTTACTGTTGCTGCCAGTGAGTTAAAGGATAATATTGAATGCCTGTATTATAGTAACTTGCTATGTTAAAGGAAATATTTCATATTGCAAGTCTCTCTCACTAGTTGCCACAGCTGAGCCCTGTCTTGATTTCCCTGACGAATGTGAATATGCAGTTGGCATCTACTCGTATCCGATGGATCCCATGTTTCTGTAGCTTTAACTGTGTTGTGCTGCCCCATCCCCAGAGGAGCCAGCTCTTCTATAGAGGGTATACACCAAACTTGTGCTAGTTCAATCATTTTTAAAAGGGGGCCACTTCAGAAAGTTATGAAGTGGCCCTGGGCTTCTCGGAAAGGGGTGTGGCCGGGAGACTTGTCTCATCTCCCGCCTGACCCTGATTGGCATAGGCCCTCACCCTGCACTAGAGAATTGTCAGATGCATTAAAACCATTTGTGGAGTCTAAGTGTTGCAGTGGGAGGGAGACCTCTTATGCTTCTGTTGACCCCAGGCTGATCAGGGCTTACAGGTGGGCAGAGTATGCAAAGTTTCTTCCCCCTGTCCTGCCACGGGCATGTGGCAGCCAGAGGGGAAACACTGGCTGTTTTAGAACAGCTGGCATTTCTCTAGAGGCTGTACACCCTTGGTAGGGGGAGGAAATGTCACATGTCCCCAGCTCTTGTGGGTGAGGGGAGCGGTAAGGGCCCCATCTATTGGCTTGGTGGGCTAGATTAACCCCGCAGAGACCCCTTTGCCCACCCCCGTAGTTGTTCCTGGCCTCCATTCTGCTTAAACAGTTTACAAAGGCACTTCCAGCTGGACAGAAAAGCTGCACAAATTGACTCCCATAAGATTTCCCCTTACATCATTTAAGCACTATAGTAACACTTAGAAATCCTTTGTGCTGGTAGTTGCAAGCTGGTTGCTTAGTAGCTGGCTAGGTAGCTTTAGAATGGAAGTTACCACTAACAAATTTATGCTGGGATTTGTTCTGAAAGCAGCTGATACTTCACAATAAATCTGTTTGGCCTAAACCTGTAACTGGGGCCACTAACCGATTCAAATGGAAAATAGAGAGCATTACAAGTTGGAGTAGATTTGGTAACAAACTTATAAATATCTTATTGTAGTACTTCAATTCTCCTAATAAAGCCTATCACTTTACTAAAGGCTGCAACTCTGGCACTTAGGATCCATGTGGTGATCGTTCCCTCTAGGACCACATCCGCTATTTTCTAACCCTGCACAGCTGCATGTAAATAATCCGGACTGTCTGTTTGGATGCAGGCTAACAACTTTAGACAGGATTTTAAAATATAGCTTTTAAAAAAAAAAAAAGTTATGCAGACACTTAAGTAACTGGAAAATAAATCAGTATAAGCTGAATGGCTATATTGGCGAAACTTGATGCTCTTGTGTTTTGGCCAGTACAGGCAGTCCCTGACTTACGCGGATCCGACTTGTCGGATCCGCACTTACGAACGGGGCTTTCTCGCCCAGGAGGTCGAGGTGGCGGATTGCTACCTGCGAGCTCCGGGGCGAGCGAGCCCCGTTCGTAAGCTGCTCCGGTGCCCCTGGTCTGCTGGAGACGGTCTCCAGCAGACCAGGGGCACCGGGCGGGTTCCCGCGCTTCTGAGGCTTTGCCAGAGCAAAGCCTCAGAATCGCGCGGAACCGCCGCTGCTGCCG